ACCTAGGGATGCTTCCAGTCTAATATGGTTGATATCCATCACTTAGTTCCAGAGAAGAAGTCGCTTAAAGCAATATAGCCAAATAACCCTTTTTGGCCCCAACCCTCAGCCCCCTGGGGGGTCAGCCCCACCATTTGTACAATTTTGAATCCCTGCATCCCATGAATGCTTTTGATTAAATATGATCGATATCCAGTGCATAGTTCTACAGAAGAAGTCGTTTGTAGAAATATAGCCAAATTACCCCTTTTTGGCCCCGCTCCTAAGCCCCCTGGGGGGTCAGCCCAATCATTTGTACAATTTTGAATCTCCACAACCCAGGGATGCTTCCAGTCTAATATGGTTGATATCCATCACTCAGTTCCAGAGAAGAAGTCGCTTAAAGCAGCTTAGCCAACTTGCCCCCTTTTTGCCCGACCTCAGCCCCCTGGGGGGTCAGCCCCACCATTTGTACAATTTTGAATCCTTGGTGACAACATTGTTATATTTTGTTCATCAACAATAACCCCTTGGTGCTACATTGCTGTATTGTTTAGTTCATCAACGATAACCCCTTGGTGACAACATTGTTATATTTTGTTCATGAACAATAACCCCTTGGTGCTACATTGTTGTATTGTTAAGTTCATCAACAATAACCCCTTGGTGCTACATTGTTGTATTGTTAATTTCATCAACAATAACCCCTTGGTGCTACATTGTTGTATTGTTTAGTTCATCATCGATAACCCCTTGGTGACAACATTGTTATATTTTGTTCATCAACAATAACCCCTTGGTGCTACATTGTTGTATTGTTTAGTTCATCAACGATAACCCCTTGGTGACAACATTGTTATATTTTGTTCATCAACAATAACCCCTTGGTGCTACATTGTTGTATTGTAAAGTTCATCAACAATAACTCCTTGGTGACAACATTGTTATATTTTTTTCATCAACAATAACCCCTTTTTGACAACATTGTTGTATTATTTGGTTCACCAACAAGAAGCGCTTGTTGACAACACTGTGTATTGTTTGATAAATCTCGGAGCAACCATTTCTAAAAAATGGATTTCTATTTTGCTGTTCGTTTCCCCGTTTCCCTTGGTGACAACATTGTTCTATTGTTCTGTTCACCACTCAGCAAAAACTCTTGGTGACAACATTATTGTTTACTTTTTGTCACCTAGCTACCCTTGGTGACAACATTGTTGTATTGTTGTATTGCTCTGTTTGTCTCCATGCAGCCATTGCTTGTTTTAATGGGTTTTTTTTATTTGTTTTTTAGCAAGTGAAAGGAAATTAGATGGTGCTAAATCAGAGAACACAGAGCTGGCCAATCCCACCTGATATTGACAAATTTTGACAAGACAGAAATGATTTGTTGTAGTTCCGAAACTACTTTTTTTTTACAGAAAATCAGAAAGTACAGATGTTAATTTGTATGACTTTAGTGAGATTTGCACAAAAACTGACAACTGAACATGTCTTAAGGTACACCAGTGTTCAAATACTATTAAACATATTCTCCATTCCTAAGTGAGACAAACATTTAGATGTTGATGTGTTCAACAAATTAGAGAAGCCTCATGTCATGGAAATAAGGAATCCTAACATCCCAGTGAATACATTTCATGTTGAGCTTTGACTCAAATATCATATTTTGTAAAGTAGTATATGAAGTTGTTATAATGATTTTATATATTGGTGTGATTTAAATGTTAATCGTTCAAAAAAAAAAGCTACTTTTCTTTCCAAGTTATGCATCTTAAATAAGTTTTGAATTACTGTTTAACAATTTCTGTCCTTACTAATTTTCACACAAAAACTTCTCTGGCAAAAAAACAAAAACATTATACTGGTATACCAGAATACTTAAATAGAGAAAATTCAAGACAACAAATCTCCATTCAGCTAAGTCAAACAGGATTTAATTAAATTTCAAGTTAATACATTTCCTATATGCGACACTCTCCCTGGTAGATGTATGAGATCTGTAGCTGTGTGCAGCAGTGAAACAAGATTTACACCGTAGACTGTACGCAATGGCTAATCCATCTCTACATCTGTGTCGGTACAAGTCTCCGTCAAGGTCTCCTTTCTAGACGATACTCCAACGCTTCGTCCACTACATCTTCGGAAAGAGAATTAGTTCAACACAGAGTGTGAGTTTGAGGATTGGCCACAAATGTCAACACATCAACCCGGCGACATCGATATCTACTGATACAACAGTTACACGCCTGCATTTGTGTGAAGCACTCTCTGCAATGTAAGACTATTATCTTTTACAACTCTGTTGATATTTTTTCAAAGAGCTTTACCCACTTTGTTTTTCTTGGTGTCGAAGAATTAAGGTGCTGTTGGTAAATACCATCAGTATTAAACTATACCATTATGTGTCATCACATACCATTTATACGAAATATCTCTTCACCTATAATTAACTTTGTGGTTCCATATCCTTGACCAACCCATATCCACACGGATATTTGTTACATGAAACTGACATATAGGTAACTTAAGACCAAATTTGGTAAC